CTCCTCACCTGTCCTGTGGAGCTGAATGTGTGGTTTCCAGCGGATCTCCAGCAGTCTGCGATGACGATCGATCTCTTCCTCGTACTGGACGATGGTTTTTTCAAACTCTGTGAATATTTCTTCAGCAGCAGCAGTTAGTCTCTCGCTGATAAACTCTCTCAGAGACTGAACTGAAGACATTGTTACTGCACACACTCAAACATTCACCTCACACACACAAACCGACTCACAAACCACCACCGAACACAACTAGCTATGCTAACGGCGCTAGCGCCTTGTTTACTTCCGGTGGTGTCACACTGAGAAGCTCCGACGGAAACGTAAAGTTTCAGCTCATTTCTGCTGTTTTTATTAAATCACTAAAGTTTAATTGACTTGGAGTCAGTTCCAGATGTTTCCAACACATCAGCAGCAAACACACGGAATAATGCACGGAATGCTAACTATGCTAATGCTTTGTTTACTTCCGCTGGTGTCACACTGTGATGGTCCGACAGAAACTGCATTTGCTTCCATTTCCAATAAGATGAGATGTTGAGTTTTATCATGTGAAGCTTTTATTGAAAAATAACCTGCACTAAAATATAATATAACAGAGTATTAAAGGCAATTCGTCCTGCTATGATTCTGTAAATTAAAGGTGTAAAAATATATTCTGCAATTACTCTGAAAGAACCATCATTGATTATTAATGGATGTGACTTTATAGAAAAAACAAATTTATGAGAAATACTGACTTCTATTGTTTTCCCATCAAATTTGAGAAGAAAGTTTTTGTTTACAAACTATGATGATACCTCTGTAAAAATAAAAATAAAATATCTTTCCTTTCCACTCCCACAATAAGTAAAAGTACACTTCAAACTAATAAATGATATATATCCTTTTAACAACTTCTTACAAAAGAAATTCAACATAAACTCCAGCTCCTGTGTGTTCTGTGAGTCAGATATTTAAACTGCAGAAAACCTCTTATTGTGATGTTAGAAACGTTTTCTGGAAAAACTTTCAAGATAAGAAATATATACAAGATAAGAAATATACAGTATAAGATAAGAAATGTATTCCACCTCGAAGTTTTGGTCAAATCAAAATGGGTCTTTTAACAGGGGATAAAGAAGCAATTTATGGTAATAATTTAATCCTTTAAGCTAAACTTTTTATACACAAATGCCAGTTTTTTAAAAATCACCCCATTAYTTAACATTTTTCTAAAGGAAGTAGTTTTATTTTAGGCAGTTCGGACACACTGTAACAATAATAAAGCCCAATTATTGCACCAAAACATTGATGATATAACCAAATAACTAAAAGTCCTCTCATGATATCTGTTTTATTAAATGGAACTCCCCGCGGAGAATCTTACTAATCATATTCTGGTATTTTCTTTTTTTCTTTTTATTACTTTGTCCCATAATTCAATTTTCTGTTCAGTTTTATGTTAAACTGTATATCTTTGAATGTGAATTGTGCCTTTTTATATTGTGTTTTTGAATTTATAAAAAAAAAGCTGAGATAAAAACAATGTAATAATGAATAAAACCATCTGATACTAAAACTAAAATAATTTAAATTGTTCAAATAGTTTTACTAAACTTTCAGTTTTAACATCTGTGAACAAAAGATCCCATTTTAATTAAAGCAGCTAAAGTTTAATAAAGTTAAATTATTACAGAAGAGACTTGAACTGAAGAAACAAACTGAATATAAGGATGAAATGAAAAAAATCAGTCCTGTTTAGCTTCAGGAGTTAAAAACAAAATGTATTTATTGTCATTTTACCAAATACAGGAGGGTCACCTGCAGTTTAACAGCTTCCTGCCTCTGAACAGAGTTTTTCTCAAACTTGGTTCCATTCAAACACCTGATCAGGAGGAAAAAATACTTTACAGAAACTTCTGTTTCATTAAACCACATTTCCCAGAATGCAACAGTCTGCAGGACATTCTGACTTCATTCCAGTTGTCAGAATTCTACAGAACTTTCATCAGAAGTCCAAACATTTTTTGTTCCAGTATCAAACATCTTCAAACAGGAAGTTCTTCATGAATCAGACTCATATTTCAACATCCTTTAACAAACACAACGGTAACGTTCAGATCAAAGACAGGTGAGCACGTTTTATTTTCAGCAGGAAACCAGACTAACAGTGCAGCTGGACCAGGACTAAGACCAGGTCTGAGGGAGGTCCACGGCTACGGATCTGGACCTCTGTGAGTCGTCATGTGTCGGATTAGATTACATTTATGGTTGAAGCTTTTCCCACAGGTGGGGCAGGAGAAAGGCTTCTCCCCTGTGTGAATCCTCATGTGTCTGACTAAATTAGACTTCTGATTGAAACTGGTCCCGCATGTCTGACAGGAGAAGGGTGTCTCCCCTGTGTGAATCCTGGCGTGATTCTTCAGAATGCTTTTGTTTGTGAAAGCTTTCCCGCAGATCAGACAGGTGTACGGCCTCACACCTGTGTGGCCCACCATGTGGGTGTTTAACGTGTGTTTGTAGGTAAAACTTTTCCCACAGGAGGGACAGGAGAAAGGCCTCTCCCCCGTGTGCGTCCTCATGTGACTCTTTAAGACGCTGCTCTGGTAGAAACCTTTCCCACAGAACTCACAGGAAAAGAGTTTTTCAGCCGTGTGGGTTTCTCTGTGACGCTTCAGTTCTGGACGGTCCACATCATATCTGCTGGATCCTGGGTCAGAAGTCCTGCTTCCTTCTTGATCCTGGTCCTCAGAGTTCTGACAGAAGAACTGGTCCCAGTGTGGTTCTGGTTCCCAGGGATCTCTGTCCTTTGGAGCGGAAGTGTCAGCTTCCTGTTTCAGTAAGAACTGCTCTTCATCCTGAACACTGCAGAGCTCCTCCTCTTCCTCTTTCATCTGTGGATGCTCTGGTTCCTCCTCTGATGAATCTRGGTCTTCATGTGGATGTTCTGGTTCTGGTTCCTCCTGGCTGCAGAGCTGCTGGGCGGTGAGAACCTCCTCCTGAAGCTGTGGTTCTCCTGGAGACAGAAGAAAACAGATCTGAGGGTTTCATGGTCCTGAAGAACGGAGACATGAGACACCCTCAACATGGTGGGACATGTCCCTGTCTGTACCCTCTGTACCCCCTGTACCCCCTGTACCCTCTGTACCATCTGTAMYCCCTGTACYCCCTKTACYCCCTGTACTCCCTGTACYCYCTGTACYCYCTGTACTCCCTGTACYCCYKGTACCCYCKGTACYCYCTGTACCCCCTGTACYCYCTGTACYCCCTGTACCCTCTGTACTCCCTGTACCCTCTGTATTCCCTGTACCCTCTCTACTCTCTGTACCCCCTGTACCCTCTATACTCCCTGTACCCTCTGTACCATCTGTACCCTCTGTACCATCTGTACCCTCTGTACTCCCTGTACCCTGTACCCCCTGTACCCTCTGTACCATCTGTACCCTCTGTACCCTGTACCCACTGTACCCTCTGTACTCCCTGTACCCTGTACCCCCTGTACCCTCTGTACCCTCTGTACCATCTGTACTCCCTGTACCCACTGTACCCTGTACCCCCTGTACCCTCTGTCTCTGCTGTACCCTCTATACCATCTGTACCCTCTGTACTCCCTGTACCATCTGTACTATCTGTACCCTCTGTACCATCTGTACTCCCTGTACCCTCTGTACCAACTGTACCCTCTGTACTCCCTGTACCATCTGTACCCTCTGTACTCCGTGTACCCTGTACGCCCTGTACCCT